CCCCTAAAGGAAAAATGGAATTTTGGTTCATTAAGCTAGCTTGAGTTATTAATATCAAGTTATAAGGTTTAGGCTTTTGATAATTGTCTCGGAAATTATGTTTATGTAGATATTGAGCCTAAACAAGTTCCGGAACAATCAAAGAATTAGAATCGAATCAAAGCAAGGCTAAGGTGAGTGCAATTTAAATTGTACTTATGTTATTGATCAAACATTGTCTTGCGATGAGCCAATGACGGAGTTACTATGGTAAGAAGTAACTTTTAAAATGTTTTGTGATTATTATGTGTGCATTAGTACATAGAAATGGATGTATGTTACTATATATGTTACACGATCTACATGCTTACATGAATATGCAATATGTATTACATGTTATATGAAATGACATAGATGTTTACACATACATGTGGTATGTGACAGAAGAAAATGTATATGTGATCACAAGAGAAATGACATGGGTACATGAACATATGAAATACAAGAATAATGACCATGGTATATGATACGAGAGCTATAGGTATAGTTGGCATGCCAAGAGTCGAGGGTTCTACGTGGTCGGGGACATATATGTATCCTTTGGAATATTTACAAGGTCTTTTGAGACATATTTGATCCATTGGAATATGTATATGGTTCTTAAGGAGTCGTCTTTTGGGATAAATACAGTACATAGGTCCTTCTGGACAAATTTCATAGCCCCTAGTGAGACACATACGAGTTGTGGTGACAACATAGTGTACAACCTCAATGTACTCGAATACCTTGAGTTCTCAGTAATACATGGCTTACAAAAAGGTATAAAAGTGTTTGCATTATTACATGTTATCATTTTATTATTTTACATGGAATCATATGACATGATTGAATGAGTAGATGATATGTTCATATAGATATGAAATGCATTATTTTTATTGTGTATATGTCTCACTAAGTCGTAGACTTAGCGTGTGATTATTCATGCGTAGGTTCCGAGAAAAGGAAGATTGGTAAAAGTTATGCAAGACAGGTCGGTTTATCCTTTCCAAAGATCATCAAAAAGAATTGTATAGTATGTATTTTGTAATAATGATAGTGGTTGACATGTAAATAAGGATTAAATCCGATATGTTCTAATCGGTTTTGAAAAGTCATACGATTGAGTTTTGTAATGTTTTAAACGCATATATGTAATCGATAAAATTTATACAGATGAAAGCTTAGATTTTTACGAGATTATACATATTTTTACGAAAGTTACTATAGCAGTGCATCGATACACAATTTATATTCGAAATTTTTCACTGTTCATGGTACTGTTCACGGTACTATTCATACCGTATAGTATTGTTCACAAATACGTATTTTTTTCCTTAAATTTTTATAATGAAGCATAATTTAATAGTATTTATTATATTTTCTTAATATAAGTTCAAATGTCCAGTTATTTTGTAAAGAAATTGTTTTAAAAAGTCAATGTGACATCTCGAACTCGTATTTGGGTCATGTACGGGTTGGGGTGTTACATTTAAAGGTTTTGGGTCATGTACGGGTTGGGGTGTTACATTTAAAGGTTAATGGGTTGAACTGAATGTTTTCAAAGTTTTGGGGTTATTTCAAAATTTTTGTGTTTTATTTTTAAAAAAATATATAATTTTTTTAATTTTAAATAAAATTTTAAAATTACCAGATTGTGACCCATGTCACTTAACGGAGAAAACTAACGGTCTGTCACGGCGTGACCCATTTTGAGTAACGTAATGAAACGTTAGGCACCAAACTGTAAGAAAAAAAACGTTAGACACTAAACTAGAAAAACAGACATACTTTGAGCACCTATTGTATATTTAAGCCTTTTTTTATTATTACAATAGTTTGGCGTTGCATATTGCATTTATCATAATCATCTCTTGATCAAGAAAAGTCAACGACCTCATATAATCAGATTTTCTTTTACGACGGTTTATCGATACATTCAAAATCGTTGGTGGAGCAATCTGTTAGATTGATTCTCTCAATCTCTACGACTACATCAACATTGTGATTATGTTTGAAGATAAAATATATATATTTAAGGAAGGTTATGATTGTATTTCCCTCCACATCTTTTAGATTTTTATGTTGTGATTGTGTTATCTTTATTATAACTTATTTTTTAAATAAAATTTTAATTTTATTTATAAAAAAATAGGTAGATATTTAAAAGAATAGATCGGTAATGTATTAAATATTTTATTTTGGGTTTTCTTCTTCTTTTTACATGGAAAAGAGTCATTCATAAAATCTAAAGCAACGGTAAGTACAAGTAAGTTAGTTCAATTAAGTTCTAATACAATAATAGTTTGATAGAATTTTGTGAATTATTTTAGAGAGACATAAAATCTTCAAAAACACGATTCAATTAAGTTGTAATAGTCGGTCCATTCTTCTTGATATTGCTAACAAGTGGTTTTGAGTCCAAAGGCTTAGGATTAAAGAAAAGATATATCTTAATTTAAGAGCAAATAAGAAAATAACTTTAAATTAAATTATAATATTTTGTTTAAATGTAAGATTTATTCCTTATGTTTTAATTTTTCATGTTATAAATATGCATATAAAGTATTTCACCGAATTTATTTGAAATTCTTGTTATATACCTATATTAGATATGACGTCTAGAATTATATATTATTCCTAAATTCTTTAATTCAGAGGTTATTTGATGTTAAAATTTATGATCTTTTAGATGTTATGACAATGAATATGTCAATTAAGTTAAGATTCAGCCAGTTTCTCTGTATATATGGATGAGATTTTTTATGTTAATAAAACTAAATTATTTTAATTTAAATCCCTTTTGTAATAAAAAAATATTTTTATCTATTTTTATATTTCAACATATCATTACAATTAAAATCTATCAATACTAAACATACTTTCTGTATATATGGATATTTTTTATGTTATATAAACTAAATTATTTTAATTTAAATCCCTTTTGTAATAAAAAAATATTTTTATCTATTTTTATATTTCAACATATCATTACAATTAAAATCTATCAATACTAAACATACTTATATATAATACAATCCGTGCTTCTTAAACATCTTTTTATCTATTTAAGTTTGTAGATCCTAGGAATATGGTAGTTTAAGCCAAGGAAAAGCGTATGGAACCTAATCGTAATTATGTTAATTGAAGGTAGCTTAGATCTTAGAAAATTTGGGTGGAAATTATTGGTAATGTTATAGTTTATATTTTATTTATTTATTTTAAATGGGTAGCATTCAGATAGGAAAGGGAAATCTTCAAAACAAGATGAATAAGTTGCTTCACCACTCCGCGTAACTAAAGTTTTGTGTGTACTTGAAGCCATAATAAGTGTAGATCGAGAAGAGAACAACATATTATTAATATCTCCAACTCCATAAATTTAATATAAAAATCTTTTTAAAAAATTGAAAACTAAATTATAACATTAAATTCATCGTTATTTAAAAAAAATAAAAACATAAATAACATAATTTATATTATAATCAAATTCATAATTTATTTTATTTTATAATATTCATCAGAATATTGCTCCAAATCTTAACAATGGTTTCTTAATCGTTACTCCAATTATCAAAGGTGAGCTGCTCAACATTTGTAATGCATATGATCGAGGTGCATCGATCCTCCGAAGCCAAGGCCCATACCCGACCGATCATGTGCTAAGGAAGTGTGTTTGCTGCATTGATAAACATCATTTTCAAAGCTTTTATATTTTTCAAAGTTGATGCCATCATAATGGTGTGGGGAATATAATCCAATCTTATTATTTCTCCCGTGCACCTGTTTTTAATTATACTAAATTCTTTCTCAACGATTATTTCGATTATTACATCTAAAATTAAATTATTATATATTTTTTAAAAATTATATATTTAATTATTATATAAATTTGGATTTTTGATTTTTTTTAAAGAAAATCATTGATAGATGCATTGTTTTGATAAATGTTATATTCACTTTCAAGAATAAATTGAAAAACATTTAAGGTTTAATGACGATTGAAAGTGACCGACGACAATGACGAGTTATTTTCAAAAATCAAATTAAAAAAAATTAATAGCATTTAATGTTTAAGGGTTAAATTAATATTGTATTTAAAGTTCAAAAGTCAAATTAAAAATTAACTAATTTTACTGATACCCGCATTATCAAACTAACAGTATTTAATGTTCTAGTGATCAAAATGTTATAAATCAATAAAAAAATAACTAAATATTATTTTTTTAAAAAATGATTTCATTAGCCCAAATTGGCCCAATCAACCCATTGCCTAAATATAATCCAACCCAAAGGGACTCCACTGTAATTTGCAAAAAAATCAAGGGTGTTTTTCGTATCTAAATGATCCTTCCTGTCTTCCCCCATCCATAAACGGTTACTAATCGAAGCAAATCCCAATTATTATCTTAATCTTCACTCGGTCAACGGTTTATAAATAAATTCACATTTAAAAAATTAATCTGACGGTCTCTAAATAACCCAAAAACTAGCCGTTCACAGAGCGTCGCCAGGCTTCTAACGTTCATTTTTTCTTCTTCTTTTCTCTAATTTATTGTTTGATAAAAAAAATTCATAGATTCCTCAGTTTTTTCACTTTCTTGGAACTCTCCTTTTCTTCATCAATCATAAACTAATACCCAGTTTTTATTTTCAATTTACAGGATCATTCCTCGCAAGATTTCCTCAGTTTTTCTTCTTCCTCAGTTTTTCTTCAATGGAGGTCCGGAAGAATTCAAAACTGGGACTCACGTGAAAGACCCGGAAGGTTATCTCGATCGAAAAACCCAAAGGAATCTAAAATTTCTGAGATTCTAATCCAAATGTTTCCGATTTAAGTTCTCCATTAACGAAATCTTCAAAACATCAGAAGCATTCTACCAAGAATCCAGTCATCTATTCACCCAGTAACAAGCTTAGGGAAAGGAATTGTGGTGGCTAAGAAGAAGTCGAAAAAGTAGAGTCTGATTCAAAACCAACGACGGATGGGGTTAATTGCAAATGCAAAGAAACTAGGTGGGAATTCGAAGAAATGTCTATGCATTGCTTATGAGAATCTGAGAGCATCTCAAGAAGAGTTTTTTCAAGAACAAAGCTAAAATTGAAGCTGAAGAAGAGGCTAAAGAGACGGGTGATTTGGTTGAAGGGTATGGATCAGATATTCAAAGAGATTGACGAGAATGAAACTCGAGTGAAACAGGTAGTCTACTATTATTAGAAGAGATAAGTTGATGGAAGAAGCAAGGAATAGTGCGCCTGATTTTGGGAAAGTTATGCATCTGGTTAAGGCCATTGAGAGGCTTCTTTCTATACCGGGTTCGAAGGGGACAGAAGGAAGGAGAAGACGAAAAGGAACCAAAAGAAGAGAAGATTGATAATCTTGATAATGATATAAAGAAGAAGCCACTGAAATGGGAGTTACCTGATTGAAACCAACGAACGTGACCGAGGGTGACGCTGAGAATATATGAGACTTCATTTTTTTCCGTCAGATTTGTTTTGAATGCTAATTGTTTGGATCCGCTTTCTCAGTTTTCTTCTTCTTCGTGGGATAGTAGCCAAGGAAGGTCAGAGAAGCACTGATTGGTTATAGTTTACCACCTGTAGCCATATTTGCTTCTTCATTTTATATTTTTAAGTTCTCTGATTCTGTGTTTTCTGTTTTATTGTTTCCTTTGTTTTGCAGTATTTCAAGTAGGAATTCTAATGGAGGTCGAAGAAGCCGAAGAAACGTAAGTAACCATTCACTTAAGCTAATATATTTTCACTATTTTTGTCGTATCGAACTTCATATGTGGTCGAATTTTCACCTAAGCTAAGATGTTATGTACATATATATGCAAACGGTCTGTATTTTGAACATGGATCACAGACAAAAGTATATGCAAATATAAATGTTATTTTCTGCATTTTGGCTTATGAATTGTATTGCATTTTAGAGCTCTGATTCTGTTGGGAGAATTGGTGGGAGGAGATGGAAAAAGCAGCTCAAACCGACGTCCCTAAAACCATTCAGCTAAGAACTGAGGTACAACATCTTTTGAGTTTGGATTTCTATTTAGATTGTATCCATCTTTATTGAAGGATTCTTATAATCTTCAATTACTTGTTACTATTAAAGCAAAGAGGTAAAACAAAGGAGAAGAGTTCATGAACTTCAATTACTTGTTACTATTAAAGCAAAGAGGTAAAACAAAGGAGAGAAGAGTTCATGAAGAAGATCCAAGAAATGATGCTAGAGCAAGAGAAGCAGCGGATTCCTACTGCTCAAAAAATTTAACAGTTGCATGCGTCTTCCTCATCAATTCAGTGTGTATGCAGGTTTTGGTCAAACCTCCGTTAAAGAGAGCACCAGACCAGTGGACCTAAGACTCCATAGTGATGTACGAGCGGTGGAGCGTGCAGAGTTTGATCACCAGGTTCATTTTAATTACTACTGTGTGATTGGTAGTATATAGATAACATGTTTGGGCTTAAAAGTCACCTTTTTCTTGTTTGTTTCCAGGTTGCTGAGAAGATGAGTCTTATAGAGCAGTATAAAATGGAAAGGGAAAGACAACAAAAGGTAAACAATCTTTAAACAAATATATCCATGATTTAAGGTGTTTGGCTTTGAGAAAATAACCTAATTGTCGCAACCGTCTTTCGGTTGGGTCCCAGAATTAGACTTCGACTTGAAAAATGTGAATTAGAGTCGCCACCGATCATTTATTTAAAACAAATGGTTGATCGGATACCCTATTTCTTACCTGATCTGCATCTTTCTAAAGATGTGTCGGGTTCGGGAGTCGGTTACGGTCAATGAAGGATTAACCCTTGAACCGTCTTTTCGGTACTACGTAATTTCCAGTTGTCTTTGATTAAGAAATTTGCAAGTTAAATTAAAAGGTGAAATTTGATCCGAATTACTTACCCTTAATGAGTTTACGAAAATACCCTTAAAAATAGTTTTAAAGAAAATAATATAATAAAAGAAAGTAACAAAACTAAAGAGTAAACCAAAGAAATAATGAAACCAATAAAATAAACATAAAATAATTGGATGAAAAAAAATGAATTGAATAAAATAAATAATGAAGATAATATATATACAAAAAGAAAAAAATGTAAAGTGTTTTTTTTTAAAAGAAAAATATAATAAGAACAAAGAAACTAAAAATATAATGAAATAAATAAATAGTATAAAATAATAAAAAATATATAAAAATAAAAATGTATGTATATATAATAAAAATACTAAATAGTAATAATAATAATAAATAAATGAAAAATAAATATACATATAATATTAACTAAAAAATAGCAATCATAGAAATATAAATAAAATAAAGTAAGAATATATATAACGTTAGGAAAAATATAGTAAAAATATAGTAAAAAGTAAACATAGATAAAAAAATAATAATATATATATATGAAAATAATATAATATATAACGCAAAAAATTATAATAAATAAATAAATAAATATAATTAAATATATATATATAATAAGGTTAAATTAAAAAAAATGAATTACGGGTCAAAATTAAAAGCCAATCAAAGAAAAAAAAATGACAAATCCACGCGGATCCACACGACCCGTTTATAAAAATCCGAATAGTTTTTCAAAAACACAAGCCTTGGGGACTAGATCTACAAAAATAAAAAATAGATCTCGAAAACGCCCCCGTTCATCGGCCAAAAACAATTCTCTCAGTTTTCTTTCGAAATCAAAACACAGCAAGGGTAAGGAAAAATAACATGCGAAGGTATGAACTTTACCTTTCAAAATATAAATGCTTCGAAAATGACTACGAGTTGCTTGTAATTTTTTGCTTGGTAATTCGTATATCCCCTCCGAATGTTACAATAGTGAGTTACAATGACTATTTATAATGCTTGTGGATCCTATCTTTAGGAGTTTAAATAATAGTAGAACTCTATCCTATTTTTAAGAGTTTGAATCCTAGCAAAATTTTATCCTATTTTTAGGAGTTTGAATCCTAGTAGGACGAAAAGGTGTGTTGACAACTGCCCCTCTTTGCCCATAGTCGTGTAACGGGGATAGGGCAAAGATTAAAAGACACACTTTTCGTTCAGTGGAGTTGAAAATTGACTCTGATGTTTCAATAACTCCCTATCGAATTGAGTTACGGACGACTCCTCCATCGTGAAGTCGAGTTCATCTTGAAATGATATGAAATTGAAGCCGTATTTCGGAATTTGAATCAGCACGTGGCTTCCCGTTGCCCTTCGGTCTTCTTCTCGGTTTAAAGACCTTGGATCGGAATCGAACTCAAAAATCTTCATTGACAGATAGTTTTTTCTTGACTTAAGCTATGCTGCTTGAAAATGGTTGCTTGCTTGTCACTCAGGCACGGCTAACCCAGGTCCTCTTCTCGACTTGAAAACCTCGACTGCAACTGGAAAGTAGTACGATGCTTGTGTGCACGATTCCCTTCGTCATGAAGTTGAAACCACGGGTGGCCCCTTCGTCGTGAAGTTGAGCTTGGAATTGGATATCCTTCGTCGTGAAGTTGAAATCCAAGTAAGTAGCATTGTTCCGAGTCCAATATCCTCCGTCGTGAAGTTGAAATTGGCTTTGGAATCGGGAAATTGTTTGTTGACAACCAGCGTCCCTTCATTGTGAAGTTGAACTTGTGTTGTCTCGAGTCCAATATCCTTTGTTGTGAAGTTGAAATTGGCTCCGAAATTGAGAAATTGTTTGTTGACAACCAACGATCCCTTCGTCGTGAAGTTGAACTTGCGTTGTCTGGAGTCCAATATCCTTCGCTGTGAAGTTGAAATTGGCTCTGAAATTGGGAAATTATTTGTTGACAACCAGCGGTCCCTTCGTCGTGAAGTTGAACTTGCGTTGTCTGGAGTCCAATATCTTTCGCTGTGGAGTTGAAATTGGCTCCAAAATTGGGAAATTGTTTGTTGACAACCAGCGGTCCCTTCGTCGTGAAGTTGAACTTGCGTTGTCTCGAGTCCAATATCCTTCGCTGTGAAGTTGAAATTGGCTCTGAAATTGGGAAGTTGTTTGTTGACAACCAGCGGTCCTTTCATCGTGAAGTTGAACTTGCGTTGTCTGGAGTCCAATATCCTTCGTTGTGAAGTTGAAATTGGCTCTGAAATTGAGAAGTTGTTTATTGACAACCAGCGGTCCCTTCGTCGTGAAGTTGAACTTGCGTTGTCTGGAGTCCAATATCCTTCGATGTGAAGTTGAAATTGGCTCTGAAATTAGGAAGTTGTTTATTGACAACCAGCGGTCCCTTCATCATGAAGTTGAAATTGGCTCTGAAATTGGGAAATTGTTTATTGACAACCAGTAGTCCCTTCGTCGTGAAGTTGAACTTGCGTTTTCTGGAGTCCAATATCCTTCGTTGTGAAGTTGAAATTGGCTCTGAAATTGAGAAGTTGTTTGTTGACAACCAGCGGTCCCTTAGTCGTGAAGTTGAACTTGTGTTGTATGTAGTTCAATATCCTTCGCTGTGAAGTTGAAATTGGCTCTGAATTTGGGAAGTTGTTTGTTGACAACCACCGTCCCTTCGTTGTGAAGTTGAACTTGTGTTGTCTCGAGTGGCACGATATCCTCCATCGTGGAGTTGAAATCGCGGATGGCCACTTCGTTGTGAAGTTGAGCCTTGACTTGAATATCCTTCGTCGTGAAGTTGAAATCCAAGTATTGTATGTTGCGGGTGGACACAATTCCCTTTGTCGTGAAGTTGAAACCGTGGAGACCCCTTTATTGTGAAGTTTGGCTTCGAGCTAGATATCCTTCGTCGTGAAGTTGAAATCCACTCTCGAGCAAATTGTGTTGTTTCGAGAGAAACTTTCAATCTGTCGAGTTGGTCGAAGTGTAGCTTCTTGCTGCTGAGTTAAGCAACCAACATGAATCTTTAAAGGTGCTTTTGAATCGAGTATCCTTCGTCTTGAAGTTGAAACTTGACTCTAAAAGCTGCAAAAAATTATGTATGTGGAAAATGATAAATATGATGCTCTAAAATGTATGCATAAGATGCATGTAACATGAATTGGTTATATTTTATCTCTTGAAAAAGGTCTGATAATTTGTATTAGGATGTTGAATCCCCAAATGATGCCCCAATATCCAAAAATGCCTTAATATTTGATGTTGAATCTCCAAAGATGCCCAAATGTTCCTCATTTCTTACTTCAACATTGATTCTGAGCATGAGTTTTGTGTCTAAGAGTCACATGTCATTTACCAAGATCCACTCTATAGAGACTGCCTTGTTTGAAAAAAAATGTTTTTCTTTCTCTTTTATTTTCAAAGTTCTGAAAATATCAATAAAGAGTTTCGAAAAATGTTTAATCAAAAGTTTTGAAAATATTATCTCTTTCACGGTTTTATAATTGAGATGAATCATAAAATTAGAGTTCATTGGATATCAAATGTTTAATGACAATGTTAATCATTCAATAAATTATAGCTATTTGACACGTGCCAAGATCAAAGCTATCTTTGGGAAATGGTTAAGTAAGGAAATGATAAAAAGGTCTCAGGTTATTGTGTTTGGTCAAAGGTTTGGCATTTGATGCTCAAAGGTTTGACATTTGATGCTCAAAGGTTTGGCATTTGATGCTCAAAGGTTTGATGGGTAGCTTGCATGCTCCTCTACTGATCTTTGGGAATGGTTAGTAAGGAAATGATAAAAGGTCTCAGGTTATTGTGTTTGGTCAAGGTTTGGCATTTGATGCTCAAGGTTTGACATTTGATGCTCAAAGGTTTGGCATTTGATGCTCAAAGGTTTGATGGGTAGCTTGCATGCTCCTCTACTGGAAGTGTTCTCCGACTCCCAGCTTTCATAGTCACATTTGGATTGTGCGATACCTTATCAAGGAATTTGTGTGATCGCCTCAGTTGCACAATTTTTATATTCGAGCCGCCTTTTCAGGTTTTCAACTCGAATTCTCCTTTGGTTTCAAGACGTTATTCATGATTTACGTCTTGAACCCCCCTTTGTTATTTTTCTCTACCATGCTTAATTACATTGTTTTTTGCAACAAAGATTAATCTTGATGGGTGGGGATGAAATCTGAAGATATTCTCTTTGTTTAGAATCCATGTATGATTAGAAGGGACTTTTAAGGCACGTAATGTAGGTCAGGGTTCATGGTTATGAAAGAAAAGGGTAAATAGGCCCAAACAAGTGTTTCAGGGTGTTGAACCAAGGATCAATTCATTCTGATGCCTTCAATCTTGCTCAAAATGTTTCTCTCTCTTGATACTTTATGATCTTCGAGTGAAGTGATTCAGGAATGATTGTGCTTGATCAATCTCATAGTTTGAAGATGTACCATTTGTCTTTAGGGAATCTTTTCATGTGTTTTTTTGTCCCTTTTTCTTTTAGATTTTTGTTTTTTTTTCTTCTTTTTTTTTTGCCCTTTTTGTTATGATTGAATCTTTGCAATTGGCATTTGGTTCACCTTTTGGTATATCATCTGAATCAATGTCTTCGCTCATGTGAGCATATTTCTTCCACCTTGCCCCCCAGTGTAGAGGGTGATCCTTAGTTAGGGTTGAATCAGAAGAAAAATACTACAGCTCAAAAGGGGA